GTGACAGATGGAAGCCTCAAACAGTGAAGAGCCCTTCAAAAATGTTGAATAAGGGCTCAAAATAAGCCACTTTACAGTTTACAACATGCCTCAAAATAGTTTACAAATAGGCCTAAAATACTATGCAAGAAATAGGCATACAAGAGAGGTAAAGAAGCAAGTGGTAGCTAGAGACCTTAAACATGGAAGGACCCTAAAAAAAACATGAAAAAGACCTCAAAATAATGCTATTTTCAGTTAGGATCGGAGCCCAAAAATGGAAGCAAGTATGGCTTAGAAAGCATGCAAAAGAAGCTCAAAAAGAGGGAAAATGTAGCTCACCCTTGTAGACCAAACTTCAACAGCCTCTTGGCTTGACAAAAGGTGCTCCTTGCCTCTGAAAAACCAGCTCCAAGTGTTGGAATGGATGGTGTTGGTATGGTGCTAGGTGGTGGTGTAGAAATGGTGTAGGGTTTGGGAGTTTTTGGTGCTTGGAAGAGAAGGAGAGGGAGGATCAATATAGGAGGCTAAGAGCAATTTTTTGTAACCCTCAGATGGGAGCTAGAGCTGCTGTTATATAGGCAAAGGTGTGGGAAAAAGAGGGGGAAAAAAGGGGGGAAAACAATTCAAGTTTCCCCCCAAAAGTGCAGCCCCCCGGATACAATATCTGGGAGGAAACATAATGCATATCTGTAAAGTACCTGGAGAGAGGATCATGGCTAGCTGCTTTTCTAGGGTTTAGGTGGCCGGCCGGCTTTCCCCATGGCCGGCTGGCCGGCCAAGGGTCAAAAGGGTTAATCATGATTAGTGGCCCGCCACCCCAGAAAGAGGGCCTCCCATGTGTGCACAACACAACCATGTGGTCAAAAACTGGAGAAAGTGAACCAGGAGAGAGAAAAAGGCCACTTTTAGGAGGGGTTCAAAAGGGACAAACACAATTACTGGCCGGCCATGTGATATTGGTGGCCTCCCAGGTGTGTACAACACAAATATGTGGTTTGGGGCAAGAAAAAGTGGCCTTATGGTGGTCAACATTGGCTTTGAAGTGAGAAAAACGGGCGACGGAGGGCGATGGAGGAATAAAACTGGTTGTCAGAACAATTACTGGCCTCCCACCCTTCTACGACCTTCCTAACAATGAAACAGAGGTTCTTTCCAAAAATGAGCCCAAACCGATGCAAAATAAAGGTTCGGGGGCCGAAACGCGCAGCCCGAGGTCCCGAAAACTGACTGTTAGGCATCGGGAGTGGTGTTCGACCACGAAGTTGGTCTCTCGGGCCACAGTGTCCCTCAAAAGGAAGTAAATAAGATGCATGCCAAAAACCGGAACAAACGGAGGTGGTTAAGCGGTCCCGAACCGAGGCACACGGCCAACGACTTCGAAAAATCAAAAATCGGACTCCAAACGGGCAAAATGGCCTACGACCACGAAACGTAGCCTACGGCCACTGAGAGATGATCTACGAGACCTCTCCCTCCCTTCGGGAAGAGAAAACAGAGAAAACAGAGCCTGGTTCGCAAACCGAGGTAAAGCATGAAAGAGTCCGAAAGTTCGGAGGCAAGGCCCGCAGCCGAGACTCTGAAACCTCTGAACGAGCACAATATGCACCATCACCAAGCGCTCTGTCGGTGAGGTCTGAGTCTGGTCAAAAATAGGGTGTCTACAAGGGGCCAGAAACATATCTTCCTCGCACTCAATTAATCATGTCCTTTACTTATCCAGATCAAATATAATCATTGGAGAGCACTACAGAAAGAACAACAATCTTTCATTTCAATTACATTTTGTAGTAGAAATGTTCTATTTATTATATACAATTCACGACAACCAATACAGTAATCTGAGAATGAAAAGCACATATAAGTAGCTGCATTAACAAAGTATCACCAATCAATATATATATATATATATTCAATTGAGAATGAATGGTAAACAAATTGACATCTGATTCAGACAAACCAGTAGGTGTGCTCGCAACCTTTTACAAGAGCAATTTCTTGAAGAACTATCTTATTCAAACAGATGGCACAAATTCCATGATGATTTTCACAAGCCACTTGTTTACCCTCCCATATAGTTTGTGTTTCCTTCTGAAAATCACCATCATATTCCAATTCACAAATCGAATCAAATACACTAACCCCTCACGCTCAGTTTGGTTGCTACCAACATGAATCAACAATAAATTAAACAAAAAAAATCCTAACATTTCTCCATAAATTCAACTAAACTAAAACCAACCCAGGTATTCTGCCCATGTTTTTTCAAAAACCCATTTTTAGTAAATCATAAGAACCACGAGATTCAAAGATTTCTTTTTCATTTTCCATTTTTCAATTTTTTTCCCCCTCAATTTTCTTAAGTACCAAACAAGATAGGCTCTGGACTTTTGGGAATCGCCAAGGAATTAATACAGAGGGAAACATGAATCGACATACTTGTTCTTGGATCGATTGGTTGTTGGTTCATTGGTCGTTGCTGAATCTTGGATTGATTGGTCGTTGGTTTGGTGGTTGTAGCAGTGGAGGAAGAGCCCTCACATCTCAGATCTACCATAAATCCAACAGATTTGAAGCCTTCACATCTCATATCGTCGTCGTCCGAGAATGGCACGAAGATGGTGGTAGTGGTGGTATGCGATGGATGTGAGGGTGAAGACGGCGGTGGCCATGGAAAAGGGTAAAGGGCGGGGAGATTGTCATCGATCTGGTGAGGAAAAGAGAAGATGAGGAGAGAAAAAATGTAGAAAGAAGTAAGCCACCGGAAGCGAATCGATGTCCTGAAGCAACAGGCCAAGAAGAGAGAGAGAGGTAATGAAGGTGATGGCGGTGGCCCAACAGTCACAGTGGCAGTGGCGGTGGTGTCGGCGGCACAGGGGAGAGAGAGGAAGTGTAACCGTGTATGGGTTTGAAGAGTTGGGGTTTTCTTTTTGATGATGATGAGTAGGAGGTTAGGGTTTTGGGGTTGAAGAGTTGGAGTTTTTGATTTTTTTTTTTTTGGAGCTCAAAAGTTTTATTTTGGCGTCTATTTTTATTTTGGTCATATTATTCACAATAGAAATTGCATGTCGTAAAAAGTAAATATTTTTAACGGCTTGTATATATGCATCGTGAAAAGTGTACTTTTTAACGCCTGACTTTTTGTGCATCGTAAAAAGTGTAATATTTTTAACGGCTGACTTTTTGTGCGCCGTGAAATGTTCAATATTTTTAACGGCTGGTGTACGCATGTCATGCATAGTTGATGTATTAACGGCATGCCAAATGCACGTTGTAGAAAGTTTTATTATTTACAGCTAATATTGCAAGTCGTAAAAAAATCATCATTATTAGCATTCACGGACTACGCAATAGACACGTGGTTGGGGAATTATTTACAACATACAAAAAAAGCAAGTCGTAAAAGTGAGAAATCATGGCTTGCATTTATTGTATATCATTAATGTGGAGTTGTAAAAACTCAGTTTTGTTGTAGTGATAATTGCATGAATGCTCTGTTTCTAGCTTCCAATTTAAAAAAAAGATATGAAATTTAATTGTTCTAGTTGTTGATCTTTTGCTTTTCTGTTCTTCAGTGGATGACACATACATGTTGATCGTGGATGGGCAACGAGAAACTGAAATTGCAATAAGATGTCATTGTAATATGAGCATACAGGAGGAAGAGCCGAAGAACTGCTCCAAGAGCCTCATACCATGGAATGCGTTCAAAGAGTACGTTCCACAGGAGATCAAATGTAGAAAATTTACATATTGCTCTTGTACATATTGCTCTTGTGGGGAAATGAGAAGACGAGTGGCTGATAGATCGTCTGATGTCAGAAACATTGTTGCTGAAACTGTTGGCACTACAAGAATTAACACTTTTGGCAACAAAAAAATTGGTCGCTAAAAGTCAATTTTTGGTCGGCAAAAATTATCCGCGACCAATTTTTTTGGTCGCTACTTTGGTCGCCAATTGAGGGTCGGCAAAAGTAATTCGCGACCAAAATTTTGGTTGGTCGGCAAAAGTTAGATTTGCCGACTAAATTTTTGGTCGCTAAATATTTAATGACCGCGACTAATTCATTTTGTCGCTAAAACACTTTGGTCGCGAAAAGTGATATTTTCCCGACCAAATTTCTTAGTCGCCAATTGTCACATTTCGCGACCAAAAAGTTTGGTCGCCAATTATCACATTTCGCGACCAAGTTTTTTGGTTGCCAATTATCACATTTCACGACCAAAAAATTTGGTCACCATTTGTTACTTTTCGCGACCAAAACTTTTGGTCGGAAAAAATGAGTTTCCACGACCAAGAGCTGTTTTGGTCGGCAATAGATGTGTTTTTTGCGACCAAAACTCTTGGTCGACAATTGTCATTTTTTGCGAAAAAAAATTATTTATTTGTCGCGACTAATAAATTGGTCGCCAAAGCAGGAAAACAATACACATGTAGTTCCTAATAATTCATTCAATCCATAATAAACCTATAATTTTAAAGCATCATTCAAATTAACTGAATCATTAAATATTTTCTTACTTTCCAATTTCCCAATAGGCAATAACATAGCACATAAATTCAAGGAATGGCACAAGTGACGTTCCATACAGTGGTAAACCCAACAACTACTGATTCAATTCCTCAAGTGAGTCAAATGAGATTAAAACAATTAGCCACAGTTCTTGCTTGCTATGCAGCCACCAATGTTTCTTTTCCTAAAACACAAACAAAACTAAAAGCTACAAATAAACTAAGCAAGAAAAAAATTCAGAGATCTCGAGAGAGTGAATTGTCAGCAGAAAACCACAACGGTGCTCTCCCTCCCTACAACTCATCCTGCAAATACAAAGCAACAAACAAGATATATCAAAGTGGATCCTTTGTGGAACAGACATGATTGATTCTGGCCTTGAACCCTTTGTTGAAGTTACTCTCTACCCAAACCATGAAAAAAATCAATATCTTTATTATTGTTCGAAAAGAAAATAACTTAAACAGGGTAAGAACATACCGAAGAAACAGCCCTATTTCCAGCCCATCAGTCACCATTACCATTAGAGCTTGATTTCCCAACTTTTGATCCATTTTTCAATGATGGCCCCATCGATATTGTTTTAGCCACGTCAAATGTTTCTGGGAACAAAGAAAAATTATGTCACTATGAAACAGCACTACCAAACAAAGATAATAAAATCTCAACAAACTTCACTACAACATACCTTGAAAAGCCCCAGAGTGCTTCAGTCGTTCAAGAACAATAGCTAAGGCAGGTCCTTGAATATCTTTCAAATTCTTGGTCACCTAGTCATGTAACAAGACAATAAACTTAGGAGTTCTGCTAGTTTTTTCACAAAAACCAAAGGAGGCACCAAAAATTTTTGTCTACATACTGTATCAGGACCACAAACTCTGAAAATTTCACCAATGCATACTTAATCTGTTTTACGAACATCTGCTGATTTATCCTATATATAAATGCAAAACCAAGCAATTAGAGCTATAAACAACCCCAAAATAAGAAACAACCAGGAACAAAATAGTGAACCGAACTCAACGTTAAAGGTTTGCAATTTTTTATAGCAATGTTTTATATTTTAATGGCAATTGAAAAACAATGTTAAAGGTTTGCTCATACGGAACTTAGTTCTACAGACTATAGCAAGGAAAGAATGCTATTGAAACCTTAACAAAAAAGGCGCTCTAAATTTGCCGCGATTTTTCCATCAGTTTCCATCTCTTGCACGACCCCTCTCTTGCGTTCTAAAGTCACAGCTTATGCTGCTACAGTCTAAGGCATCAGTGCCACCACCATATCAGCAACACTCACGCCCATCTCACAGCTGCAGCTTCAGATCCAGCTCAGCTTCTGTTCCTATATCTGTCTGTTAGAGATGTTAGATATTTGTTAGAGTTAGATATTAGTTAGAAGATTGGTTACAAGTTTGTTAGACAAGTTGTTAGATAGTTAGACAGTTAGAATAATTGAACCATGTTTACTAACAGACGGATAGACCTCAATCTTGACATATACTCATGGGTATTTAGAGAGGGACCTCTTTTATTCTTTTATCATTCTCTAGCTTATTAGGATATAACCACTCAAATATTGCTAGAAAATAATCATCCAGGAGGAGAATATTTATAAATATAATACACTGCTTACTGTTTAATACTAATATATCATAACCACACTTCAAAATGCATCTTCTACCCTCTACAGCTCCAACACCAAGTCTGCAGTGTAAACAATAGAACTAAGTGAGGTTAATTACGAAAATAGTTGGACCACTGTAATAATTATATCTACATTAGTGCCTTACATGCTACAAATTTTCAGGAGGACATGATACCTGAACCCATATATGACTTGTACTAATTAGAGAATGTAAGTGTGAAACTAGATTGGGGCCTCAAGTAGGATGGCTTCCCTTCATGCATATCGAGAAAATTTAGTTACATCTTCAGCAGCCAAATAGTGATAATAAATTCCAAGATCTACGGTCCATAGTCTAGTCTCTGTCACACTATAATCACCAGACTCTGGAATGTAGATTGGACTTTGGGATAGGAGATATATATGTACTTACAGCCTGCATCTGTTTTGATCCAGAATTCCCTGTTCGCATTTGAATCGCTTCCACTGAGTGTGACTTGGGGTGGGTTGGAGTGGCTCTTGAAGAGTCTAATGCTCTCTTGAGAGGGCTCTCTGAGGAAATATCATGATATCTTCGTCTGGGAGCATTCCATCTTCATTATTGTAAACCCCCCTCATAGGTGATGTTGTTCTTTATGTCATTTTTACGAGGCTTAAGAGATTTTCGTGCAGCCGTGGAGCTTTCAGGATGGACTTTCCTACGGAACATGTGGAGGATCTGTATGCAGTCATTTGTTGAATTAGGAAACCAATCAGAGAATACATAACCTGGACTTGCTAATGCATCCTGTAGGATTCAGATTCAGTGAAATACTCAGAAAAGCTTAGTGACAACCATCCGATTGGTTTATTGACACTTCACATTATGTTCTTTGTAATTGAATTACAGATGATATTGTGCTTGGAGCAATGGTAAGATGCTCGGGATGCCAAGCATGAGAACATGGGTTTCAATATGAGGGCAGCCACTTTGTGCATATTATATAGAAGATCAAGTCTGTATCCAGTCTATCCCTCCTAACATCCTCAATTATGGGGATATTTTTTTTTTTTATCTTAATGGTACCAACAAAACCACGTCTAGGAGATGCAGTGCTGTGTGTGCTCATTTCAGAAGATTTAGTATCTAAGCCTATGTTAGGTAGACACTTCAAAATAAATCAAATATCTGTATGTGTCTGACACTTTCCATCGGATGCTTCTTACATATTTACATTTAACACTATCATTATATATATATATATATATATATATATTGTTGTATAATTGATTTAAAATAAGTAAAATGCCTTTTTGACACTATATGTTTCCATTTTGTCTCACATAATATATTAAAAATAATATATAAAAAAATTGACCTTTTTTTGCCGAGTTTGCATACCTTAAATTTGAGATTTGTTGGGTCCGGCATTTTGATATGCATTGCACCCAAGTTCATGTAATAGAGGTCTAAACTAGAAGTACACATACCTTATGCAGTTTTGTCTCAGATGAAGCAGAGTCAACATTTCCCCCAGTCGATATGGTGCAGCTCCGAGAAGAACCATGAACCATTCTTTTCTTCAGTATCTTTTTCCTGGGGTGTATGGCTGATTTATCTGTCTCCTTTTCTGTCCATTTTTCTCCCCTCTCGCTTTTGTCTACATAATTTTCCTCTGCTATTTTTGTCCCCTGAAACAGCTCCCCAAGCGATGTTCTATGTTCCTTCTTTACCACTGTGGTTGTTTCTGGCAACTCAATTGCTGATCCAAACAGATAGCCCTGGAGTGGACAGATTGTTGTTCCATTCTCATTGGTCTCTGTGCCTTCCAATGGCTTTCCGCTAAGTGTAATGGTGCTACCATGGCTGCTTCTTCCAGTACTAACATAACTGTTTCTTCCAGTACTAACATGACTGTTTCTCCCAGATGAGTCATTGCAACCGTCTCCTTTAGCCCCTATCACCTTCTCCAACTCATCATTAATAAGCTTCAGTTCATTCTCTGTTACTTCTGTTTCTTTTTCAGTTATGTTCTCAACTGATGTGGCAAATGTTGGCGTTGATGGGTCTGTGATGACTGGGTCCGAACCAAGAGTACCTATGGTAAGGAAGCCATGGAAGAGCTCGGAAATCGCAACTGAAGATTCTTCTTCAAAGTCGTCTGCTTCTACTCTTGCTACTTCTAGGCTGGAAAATGATTTTTGCAGATGGTTGTCTCTTTGTGCTTTGCCTAAGGATTTAGTGCCAAAATTTGACTTTGGGTAGTACTGTTGGTCATCCAGTGATGGCTTCCCTGAAAGACAAGTACAAGAAATCCCTGACAGAAGAAATGTTAAATAATTGGGATAATGGTGAGGTTAGTTGGGAGGGATGTCATGTAGGTTTGTGTTTTCAAATGCATCTCAAAAGAATTAATGGCATATTATGCTTTGCTGTTGTTTTAAATATTATGGATCATGACTCATGGGCTTGTTGATGCTTACCATTATCTCAATTTTCAGTACAGGAATCGGGGACATGTAGAAATAGCAATGGAGGAATATTGATTGGGAAAACAATTAGCATTATACTCAAAAGGGAATGTCAAGTGTAACAATCTTACAGTATGTAGTTCATTCAGTTGAACTTGAAGCTGTACTCCAGCTATAAATAAGCATGCAGCATGGAGAGTTGCTAAGTACACTGGTCTTATGCGGTTAATTATTTCCAAGTATGTAACAGCTACTTTGCTTTGAAGCTGTCTTTCCTAAACAACTCTTGACTTATCGAATTTCCAGTGATCTACTGATTATGCTACTAGATTATATTGGTCTTACCACAAATATTATAATGACTACTCATGATTATGTTTAATCCTGCACTTACAGTCTTACTCTAATATGTGCACCAATCTTTTCATTATTGCTTTAGCAAAGCGTTAGCAGAAAAATATGTAAGGGTATACATGACTTACCTACGCTAAAATCCTTCAGTGGTTCATTGGCCCGGAACTTGCGATGCATCCAACCAAGTAACTGCAATCAAGATATATGAAAATATGAACTCAGAAAATATTAAGAACAGTTTTCATCATCCAAATTTCAACATAAATTGGAGTTACGTTCATTTTTTTGATCTTTCTTCAGAGTGCTTGATTTAGATCACTTCGGCAGTAGGAGGAAGTGAGAAATGATGTGCTTTTCGTATTAAGGACTATGACTATTTAATGAATGTGACGCCAAAAATGTGTCCTGAAAGGCTCCAAGGACCTCAAATTAAGGCAGGTAGAGAGAAACATTGAGAAAGTTACAAGATTTGGTTGGCTATTTTGTGTCAAAATCGAATAATGTGGCCTAATGGGGAGTGGGGTCAGAGGACCCCATGAGCTCATGATTTTATCTGGCTGTGCACTTGTGAGGTTGGTCTCCTGGTTTAGTACATGGTTAGCGGTTTGGTCTGCACCTATCAGGACACATGCCTTCTTATAGTTATGTCATTGGACTTTCCAATTTGAGTGGAGTCCAGAGCTATGTTACATTGATTATTATCATGCTTTATTATAACATTCTTAGTTAGTTATGATATGGTAAATTGTAACATTAGTAGATTGCTATAAAAACAATTTCATAGGCTTAACAAAATGTTATCCTTTGGTATTTTTAGTAACTTTTAACTATTTCATAGCATTCAAAAATTGTTATAATATATTTACGATAGCGTTCAACAATAACATTCGATAAATGTTATTAAAAATGATACACTTTTAATAACATCGGCAAACATAGCATTCCAACGAATGCTATTACTTACTTTTGATAGCATTCATCGAATGCTATAAAATGTGTTTTTTGTTATAGTGTGATGAAAAGAAAAATGTTTCTCATCCAATCCAATGTCTACAAGCAAACTGATCAATTGAACTTGTATCAATTTCAGTGTAAATATGTGCTACCATTTAGATCATTATATTACCTATCCTGCAGAAGAAGGGAACTAGTCAACATCTTATATAAGAACTAGTTATCAAGTTCAAAAGTACTGTGGAATATGCTAACATACTCAAAAACTGAATTATGATAAGAGATCTGCAGTGGATGTTAGAACATAGAATAAGTACATAAAATGACTATACAGGAAAGATTACAGTTGTGTGGAAGGCTCCTACCATAAATAATATGGAAAATTGTCAAATGAGATCTGTAGTTCTCTACCATCAATAATGGGATAAAATAGGAAAATGCAAATAAATAAACAATGCTCAAATTCAAAGTGAACCCACCAAATCAAATCAATTGGTTCATGCAATTAGAAAAATATAGAAGTACCTCTTAATTTGTGCAGGAGCAATTAATAAAACTTGTCTGGTTGAATAGAGTACAAAAGGAACTGCAAACAAGCAAAATGATCTAATTTTTTTTTGCTTAAATAGACAAAAAGTAGTTAAAAAAGACAACCAAACAATTCCTAAGTTAGGAAAGGCAAAAAGATAACATGGATAATTGTATACCTCAAGAACCATGATCACAAATTCTGAATGCTCCCACTAATGCTAGAAGATACCAAAGTACAAAAAGTCTATCATAGGTGGGTTTGGGAAGATTCATTACTCATAAATACTTGAGTCAATAAGCCAACTATAATGAAACATTACTTATTAGAGAACACATAAAAAGCTGTCTGACATGGACAACACAATAAAATGAATAATATATTAGCATGACATAATATTCATTCTACTTTGCAGAAAATTTATACACAACTGAGATTAGAAGAAAAATATAACTAGAAAGGCCTTTCTTCCATATAAAATAAACAACAAAATTAAAACTCTCCCCAACTTCAACAACCATGTACTTTCTTTAATTTAAAGGGAAAAAGAAAAAAAGAAAAGACAAAAATAGAGCAGCACTTTGTATCACATCCTTAAACCACATGCATTGTTCAGTAGAAATTTATGTTATACAAAATTTTTAACAGCAGAAATTAATTACTAAGACTCTATTGTTTATTAAAATTTTGATCAATGAAAACCACTTAAAATTCCACTCCAGTAAACCATATAGTAATAAAAATAACAAAATGACTCTTAACAACATGTATAGCCACAACGGTAGCTAATGGATCATACGCAACTATAATTTTTGAAAACAAAAAAATCAGAATCAACCAAAACACATATATACAAATCAAAACTGAAGCTTTTGAAAAAGTACCAAGGTGTGTTTACCTCCAAATAAAATGAACACAAGAAATAACAGAACTGAGATGACAAATCTCATCTTTGCAATGCCATTGTGACATTTTGTCGAGCACCTTGCAGACACAAAAAGTATATAGCATGACTCATCTTTGCTATACACAGAGAAACTATACAGATGAGAGAAAAAACAATCCAAAATCAGCAAATAAAGATCATTTCGAAACCCCTTTCAGAAAATAAAATCAGCAAATACAGATGACAAACCATTTTTGAAACGGTGCAATGATAGAAACCATTCCGAAACCCCTTTCAGAAAATAAAGATCATTTCAGAAACCCATTTCAATCATAGAAGAAATTTTTCAGAGCTGAATTCAAAACTATTTCACTCATCAGATCAGAGAAGAACCAGATTTCAGAAAAATAGAGAGAGAAATGGAAGTTTTCTTACCTGTGATAATGGTGGCCCAGAGCAAGAGCTACGAAACCTAAGTCCAAGACTTGGACTGCGGCTGTTCTTCTCCTTCTCCCTCATTCTCACTGCTGCGGCGGCTGTGTTAATAAGACCTTAGGTTTTTATTTATTTATGTATTTATATTATTAACCTTAAAATAATTACTCTCCTTGTTTTATTATTATTATTATTATTAGCCTGGTGGACTTTCATAATAAATTTATTTAAAGTTTAAGATTAATTAAATTATCTTTTAACAATATTTAATTTAGAGATGAAAGATTATTTTCTTCATTAAAAGGTACATCTTTTGTGATAAAATTTATTTTCATCATTAGTTAAAGACTCTTTTTGTTGTATGTTCAAGAGATTGATGGCGAGCTTGAGGCCTTCAGTGACTAAAGAGGAGAATAGGAAGAAGCTGAAGGAGACAATTTCGAAGACTAGAAGCTTCTTGCCGGCGACGATGCCGACGTCGCAAACGGAGGGCTTTTCGAGGCGATGATGGTTTGGGGTGATAAGAAAGATGCCTCCGAAAACGGCGATCGTAAGAAACACTCTGCCCCCAACAGTATTGAACGCACTCCATCTAGGAATGGCAACGGGGCGGGGCCGAGGAACACACTCCCCGTTCCCGATCCCCGATGGTCGAATTTCCCCCGACCCGGCCCCGATCCCCGACGGGGAACCTAGGATATGCATGCCAAAAACCGGAACAAGACGGAGTGGTTAAGCGGTCCCGAACCGAGGCACACGGCCGACGACTTCGAAAAAATCAAAAATTCGGGACTCCCAAACGGGCAAAATGGCCTACGCCACGGAAACGTAGCCTACGGCCACTGAGAGATGATCTACGAGACCTCTCCTCCCTTCGGGAAGAGAAAACAGAGAAACAGAGGCCTGGTTCGCGAAACCGAGGTAAAGCAGAAAGAGTCCGAAAAGCTTTCGGAGGCAAGGCCCGTTCGCCGAGGACTTCTGAAACCTCTGAACGAGCAACAATAATGCACAATCACCAAGCGCTCTGTCGGTGAGGTCCTGAGTCTGGTCAAAAATAGGGTGTCTTACAAAGGGGCCAGAAACCCATATCTTCTCGGCACTCAATTAATCATCGTCCTTTACTTTCCCAGATCAAATATAATCATTGAAGAGCACTACAGAAAGAAACAACAATCTTTCCATTTCAATTACATTTTGTAGTAGAAATGTTCTATTTTATTATATACAATTCACGACAACCAATACAAGTAATCTGAGATTGACAAAGCACATATAAGTAGCTGCAATTAACAAAAGTTCACAATCAATATATATATATATATATTCAATTGAGAAATGAATGGTAAACAAATTGCATCTGATTCAGAACAAACCAGTAAGGTTGTGCTCGCAACCCTTTTTTTTAACAAGAGCAATTTCTGAAGAACTGTCTTAATCAAACAGATGGCACAAATTCCATGATTGATTTTCAACAAGCCACTTGTTTTACGCCTCCCATATAGTTTGTGGTTTCCTTCCTGAAAATCAACCATCATATTCCGATTTCACAAATCGATACAAAAATACAACTAACCCTCCTCACGCTCAGTTTGGTTGCCACCCGAACATGAATCAAACAATAAATTAAACAAAAAGAAACCTAACATTTCTCCCATAAATTCAACTAAACTAAAACCAACCCAGGTATTCTGCCCCATGTTTTTTTAAAACCCATTTTAGTAAATCATAAGAAACCACGAGATTCAAAGATTTTCTTTTTTCATTTTCCATTTTTCAATTTTTTCGCCCCTCAAATTTGCTTAAGTACCAAACAAGATAAGGCCTCTGGACTTTTGGGAATCGCCAAAGGAATTAATACAGAGGGAAACATGAATCGACATACTTGTTCTTGGATCGATTTGGTTGTTGGGTTCATTGGTCGTCTGCTGAATCTTGATTTGATTGGTCGTTGGTTTGGTGGTTGTAGCAGTGGAGGAAGAGCCCTCACATCTCAAGATCTCCATAAATCCAACAGATTTGAAGCCTTTCACATCTCATATGACGTCGTCGTCCGACGAAATGGCACGAAGATGGTGGTAGTGGGTGGTATGCCGATGGATGTGGGGTGAAGAACGGCGGTGGCCCATGGAAAAGGGTAAAAGGGCGGGGAGATTGCAATCGTATCTGAGTGGAGGAAAAGAGAAGATGAGGAAGAGAAAAAATGTAGAAAGAAAGTTAAAAGGCCACCGGAAGCGAATCGATGTCCATAAGCACCAGGCCAAGAAGGAGAGAGACGAGGTAATGAAGGTGAATGGCGTGGCCCAACAGCCAAAGTGGCAGTGGCGTGGTGTCGGCGGCACAGGGGAGAGAGAAGGAAGTGTAACCGTGTAATGGGTTTGAAAGAGTTTGGGGTTTTCTTTTGAATGATGATGAGTAGGAGGTTAGGGTTTTGGGGGTTGAAGAGTTGGAAGTTTTTTTGATTTTTTTTTTTTTTGGAAGCTCAAAAGTTTTATTTTGGCGTCTTAATTTTTATTTTGGTCATATTATTTCACAATAGAAATTGCAAATGTCGTAAAAAAGTAAATATTTTTAAACGGCTTGTATATATGCATCGTGAAAAAGTGTCTTTTTTAAACGCCTGACTTTTTGATTGCATCGTAAAAAAGTGTAATATTTTTAACCGGCTGACTATTTTTGTGCGCCGTGAAATGTCAAATATTTTTAACGGCTGGTGTTACGCATGTCATGCATAGTTGATTGTTATTATACGGCATGCCAAAAATGCACGTTGTAGAAAGTTTTATTATTTTACAGTTAATAAATATTGCAAGTCGTAAAAAAATCATCATTATTAGCATTCACGGACTACCAATTAGAACACGTGGTTGGGGAATTATTTACACATACAAAAAAAAGCAGTCGTAAACGTGAGAAAATCATGGCTTGCATTTATTGTATATCATTAATGTGGAGGTAAAAACTCAGTTTTTGTTGTAGTGATAATTGCAATGAATGCTCCTGTTTCTAGCTTCCAATTTAAAAAAAAGATATTGAAATTTAATTGTTCTAGTTGTTGATCTTTGCTTTCTCTCTGTTCTTATCAGTGGATGACAAACATAACATGTTGATCGTGGATGGGCAACCGAGAAACCTGACAAAATTGCGCAATAAGATGTCAAGTTGTAATATGAGCATACAGGAGAAGAGCCGAAGAAACTGCTACAAGAACCCTCATACCATGGAAATGCGTTCAAAAGGAGTACGTTCCACAGAGAATCAAATGTAGAAAATTTACATATTGCTCTTGTACATATTGCTCCTTGTGGGGAAAATGAGAGAGAGTGGCTGATAGATCGTCTGATGTAGAACATTGTTGCTAGAAACTGTTGGCACTACAAGAATTAACACTTTTGGCAAACAAAAAAATTGGTCGCTAAAAAAGTCAATTTTTGTCGTCAAAAATTATCCGCGACCAATTTTTTTGGTCGCTACTTTGGTCGCCAATTGAGGGTCGGCAAAAGTTAATTCGCGACCAAAATTTTGCTTGGTCGGCAAAGTTAGATTTGCCCCCGGACTAAATTTTTGGTCGCTAAATATTTAATGAACCGCCGACTAATTCATTTTGTCGCTAAAACACTTTTTGGTCGCGAAAAGTGATATTTTCCTGACCAAATTTCTTAAGTCGCCAATATGTCACATTTCGGCGACAAAAAAGTTTGGTCGCCAATTATCACATTTCGCGCTGCAAGTTTATTTGGTTGCCCAATTATCACCATTTCAACGACCAAAAAATTTGGTCACAATTTGTACTTTTTTCGCGACCAAATAGACTTTTGGTCGGAAAAATGAGTTTCCACGACCAAAGAGCCTGTTTTGGTCGCAAATAGATGTGTTTTTTGGCGACCAAAACCTTTGGTCCGACAATTGTCATTTTTTGCGAAAAAAATTAATTTATTTGTCGCGACTAATAAATTGGTCCGCCAAAGCAGGAAAACAATACACCTTGTAATTCCTAAATAATTCAATTCAATCGCATAATAAACCTGATAATTTTAAATTCATCAATTCAAATTAACTGAAATCATTAACATTGCGACACATACACCTAATTTCATCTAACATTTGACACAATACACCTATTCTAAGTTTTCATTCGCGGCAAGTCACATCCATCTAGCATAACAATTTGAAAACAGATAACTATTTGTTATCCATGCGCAGCTATCAACAAATAAAACTACTAATATTTGGTTAACCATACATCCATCCAAAAATATTTATACTCCTAAATTGCTTATAGACTGCAAGTCGTAGTCTTGTACAATTTAACTTCCGTGAACATTGTTTAGAATATGTTGGGGAGGATGCGTCGTCTAGTTGTGAACAGACATGAATTGAATTCTGGCCTTGAATCCGCTTTGTTGAAGTTACTCTCTATCCCAAACCATTGAAAAAAATCATATCTTTATTATTGTTCGAAAAGAAAAATACTTAAAACAGGGTAAGAACATACCGAAGAAACAGCCCTATTTCCAAGGCCCATCAGTCACCATTACCAATTAGAGCTTGATTTCCCAAACTTTTGATCCATTTTTTTCAATGATGGCCCCATCGATATTGTTTTTAAGCCACGTCCAAATGTGTTCTGGGAACAAAGAAAAATTTATGTCACTATGAAACAGCACTACAAACAAAGATAATAAAATCTCAACAAACTTCACTACACAACCTTGAAAAGCCCAAGAGTGCTTCAAGTCGTTGCAAAGAACAATAGCTAAGGCCAGGTCCTTGAATATATTTCAAAATTCCTTTGGTCACCTAGTCATCGTAACAAGAACAACTAAACTCAGGAGTTCTGCTAGTTTTTTTCACAAAAACCAAAGGAGGCGCACCAAAAATTTTTGTCTACATACTGTATCAGGACCAACAAACTCTGAATTTCACAATGCATACTTTAATCTGTTTACGAACATCTGGGCTGATTTATCCTATAATATAAATGCAAAAAACCAAAGCAATTAGAGCTATAAACAACCCGCAATAAGAAACAACACAGGACAAAATAGTGAAACCGAAACACGTTAAAGGTTTGCAATTTTTATAGC